GTTGGTCAGTTAACCACCTGTAAAAAGGAGCGTCGTTCACGTGAGGCATTAAACTGGCCTCCTGACATTCTGTTGTCATTAATTCCCCACTTTAATCATGAATTTGACCTCATTGTTTAAGCTGGTAGGACTTATTGAGCTTGTCAGGATGCGCTACCCCTCTATTAGAGCAGCTCCCACAACGAATGCAGCTGCTGCTTGCAGTAGGCAGAGTCTGGTCCCTCTAAGCGTCCAACTTTTGGAGCTATAGGCATTATAAAATTAAGAGTCACTACGAAAAAAAAACCTGATTTCGGCCCGAATGACAGCGTCACCTGAATTCACAAATCATGGAGAATGATATTCGGTATTATTTGCATGTCTATGACAGCGCACTGCGAAGTTATAGCCAAAAGAAATCTGAATATCAAACCGCAAACTATCTTTCCTGCGGTGCTCTACAATCCATTATACTAATCCTTGCTCGTGTGTGTGTAATAAAATGCGTCAATATACGCGTAAAATACGAGTAAGAAGTTCCATTAAATACCAAGTCCATCATATTTACGATCGCTGTGCATTGAAAATGTTCATATAGTTTCCATGTTCATTCTTGTAGTTGTTCAGTGTACATTGTATTGTACACTGTACTTTTGTTTATAATGTATCATTTTAACATAGAAGAATATTGAATAGTGTACTTTAACATTGAAGTACACGGCTTCCTAACCAATTTTCAGTGAAAAAAGCAAACAAAACAAAAAACTGTTTTAATTTACCATATACTTTAATGTAAAAAAAAATCAGGTTAATGTAATACACTTTAATGGTTTAGCATTCAAAGAAATACTCTGCTACACAATCATAAACACATTTACTTGTCTGCTCTAACATGATCAGATCAATGTCTCTGTACATGCTGCTCAATGTTAGACTATACTTAATACATTTCTCATAGACAAAAAAACTAGAAACAAGACAAACAGAGAAAAATTTGTATCCCAATTACATCTTATAAGCTGTAATTGAAGTGTCTTAAGAATGTCAGTCAACTGTGGACATCTCTACAGCAACAAGCCTGCTGCTCGCTCGCTCACTCACATGCACACACACGAGCAGATGCTCATCTGTTGGGATTCCTCAGTGACTTGGTAAAGTAAAAGATGAATTCAACCAAAATGACTGAATTTGGAGGCATGAATCATCCTTTACGCAAACTGTCTCATACACACATATTGCACATGATCCACTCTAAGCCCCCCCCCCACCCACACACACACGCGCAAAAACAACATACAGTAAAGTAATTTCACTCGCACTCTCATTCACAAATACCTCGCTCTTTAAAGTAAAAATGAATTGAATAAAAAGACATTGGATCTTGGCATTTTGATCATACTATATCCAAACCTCATGAACTGCACTTAATTTGGAGAATTTGAGGGCTTATGCCAAACC